GAAAACTCTTTCATCCATCTCTCAATACACCACAATAATAAGGGACGCTCAAGCAAAGTTAATTCTTTTCTGGTAATGTTCCTGTATGATAAGGTTTGTATTTTTGAGTAAAGTACGATGGACAGTTCCTGAAAATTTAAATTGCTACAATACAAATGAGCTGTGTCCAGACTGCAAGTTTTTCCGCAAAAGCAGCTGCCAGCTGTCTACACTGGCCGCTTGAATTTCCGCAAGAACACTGACGATCTCATGTAACAAATCAGAGCTTCTTGCGGAAATGCTATGCTGCTCCTGTTTGGGCAAAAGTCCTTTTGCGTAAAAGGGCCAGTGTAGACAGATTTGTTTTGCACAAAAAAGCCGCGATCGCGAAAATGGCGATCGGGGCTTTTTTGCGCAAAAGCACATCTAGATTGGCACAGACGCTTTTCCACAAAAAGTGCTTTTCTGTTAAAAGCATTTGCGGAAAATCATGCCAGTCTAGACGTAGCCATGCTGTTTGACTAGAGCAAAAAAAAGTTGGCTTTTAACTTTTAGTATGAACATCCTCCAGTAGTAGTAGTAATAAATAATCATAAACTGGGTAACATCTTGATCTCCCTTCTCTTTTTGACAGAGGGTGCCTGCCAACCTATTTCTGACATATCTATTTATTTAAATCTAATAGCTTAGCAGCAGGGTGGTGCCTTTGCAGCAGAACTATGGGAAGCAGGTGAGCTATGAGAAAAGATTGTGATCTAAAGACTGTTTCCCAATGGGGGTATTTGGGTTTTTTTCAAATACGGTAGACGTACTTGCTAAACAATATTAGTTTGAATAATGATTCTGTAAATTAAATGTATTGAAAGTTTTCATATTTTTAAATCTTCCCCAATTTCATACAGAAATTGAATCCAAGACCTGGTAGTTCATATGTGAAGGGTGAGACCATGAGTTTCTCTCTTGGTGATGGTGGGGAGGACATGGCTGGTGTTTGGGCCAGCTTTGGCTTTAAATTGATTTTTACTCACTGATTTATTTTTTTTCTTTTATTTATTTTATGTATTTGTATGGGCGGGTTTTGCCCTAGGGTTATCATGGTTGATAACGTAGTGGCAGCCACCTTTATCTACAACTTAAACTTGCAAATCAAACCTGTGCAACTGTGCACCACATCAGAGACAACACCTTTGTTGTTTGCCTATCTTTTACAATTGTTCCTTATGGGGGAATGTAAATATGTTTGGCGCCAGGCTCACAAAAATTTAATCCAACCTTAGATGACTTTGTGGTAATCCCAGGAAGTGCACTGCCACCACGTGCTCCTGCCAAAATTTTGATTGCTAGATTAGGGTTACCGTATTTGAACTTTCAAAAAAGAGGACACACCTGAGAGGGAGTGTATCTGTATCAGTATCTACCAACTCACATATTAATAGAGATTAATACTACATGGCTACGTCTACACTGACATGATTTTCCGAAAATGCTTTTAACAGAAAAGATTTCCGTTAAAAGCATTTTTGGAAAAGCACGTCTAGATTGGCAGGATGCTTTTCCGCAAAAGCACTTTTTGCGGAAAAGTGTCCGTGGCCAATCTAGACGCGGTTTTCCGCAAAAAAGCCCCGATCATCATTTTCGCGATCGGGGCTTTTTTGCGGAAAACAGTACTGTGCTGTCTACACTGGCCCTTTTGCACAAAAGTCTTTCGGAAAAAGACTTTTGTCCGAACGGGAGCAGCATAGTATTTCCGCAAAAGCACTTACATGAGATCGTCAGTCAGAGATCTTACATGAGATCGTCAGTGCTTTTGTGAAAATTCAAGTGGCCAGTGTAGACAGCTGGCAAGTTTTTCCGCAAAATTGGATGATTTTGCGGAAAAACTTGCCAGTCTAGACACAGCCCATGTGTTGGTAGATACTGATACAGATACACTCCCTCTCAGGAATGTCCTCTTTTTTGAAAGTTCAGATATGGTAACCCTAATGGAGTGCTCCCTCATGCCCCCTTCCTGTTCTCTCTTTGCCCCCTCCCCTCACAGGCACGAGTCACCTGTTAATCTGATCTTGTACTTTGTTAGCATTGAGAGTTCTAGTCATAGAATCGTAGGGCTGGAAGAGACCTTAGGAGGTCATTCAGTCCAGCCCTCTATCCAAGGCAGGACCATTCCCAACTGGCCCATTGCACAAGGAAGTCTACAAACACATTAAAAAGACTGGCCCTGCCCTACCTCTGAGAATTTAGCATTTGTTCATTGACAGATTCTTACAATAACGATTTCAAAGCAACAAGAGGAACATAGATATTACTTTGTAGTCATTTTAATGCCTCCAGATTATCACGGTAGTGAAGATCTTGCCATCATTTATTAAATGTTATGCTGGTGTTCAGAGGTGCCCATTAACATTTGTGATTCCTTCATTCTAGATGTTTCACAAACACAAAGTAATTCATAGCCTTTGCCCCAAAGAGCTAACAGGGGCTGTTTCTGTATTGGCACGATCTTGCGCCGAAACTTGCTGCCTGTCTACACTGGCTGCGAGTTCTTGCGCAGGAACACTGATGTTCTAATGTATGAAATCAGTGCTTCTTGCGCAAGAACTATGATGCTCCCGCTCAGGAATAAGCCCTCTTGCGCAACTGTTCTTGTGCAAGAGGCCAGTGTAGACAGGCAGCATGAATTTCTTGCGCAAGAAAGCCCTATGGTTAAAATGGCCATTAGAGCTTTTTTGTGCAAGAGAGCGTCTACACTGGCACAGATGCTCTTGCGCAAAAGCACATCTCTTGTGCAAAGGCACATGCCAGTGTAGGCGCTCTCTTCTGGAAGAGTTTTTGCACAAGAACTCTTCCGCAAAAGAGTTCTTGTGCAAAATCATGCCAATGTAGACGTAGCCTGAATGTATGTAACACTTGAAAGCCATGTATACATTTACTCACAAGTTAAAATAATAAAATATTGCAAACAAAACTTGGTTTCAGACATCACAGAACACTATACATATCAAGTAGTTATAAAACAAATTATTTGTATTAAACTGACAGGTATTAAGCACTAACGGTCTAGGAGTTACACATGAAAGCAAAGGAGGGAGAGAACAAATAATTGCATAGGGTTGGCAAACTTTGGCACGTGACCAATCAGGGTACTCTGTTGATAAGTCGTGAGACATATTGCTTATGTTAATGTCCACAGGTTCCCCTCACCCCCACAGTTCCCTGTGGTCCACGCCATTCCCACAACTCCCATTGGCCAAGAACTGTGAACCGCATCTCTGGTAGCTGTGGTGGTTTGTGCCTGCAGACAATCAACATAAAATGATTCCCAGACTGCCAGCCAATTACCCTGATGGGCCATGCTGAAGGCTGCCAACTCCTGTGATAGCAGAGGGGTGGAAATGGACAAGTTTAAATACATGTGATCATTTAACTCAGTTGATGCATAGTTCTTAGCAAACTTTTTCAGGCTTTGTGGCAAAAGAGAATTTTTGGGAGAGAGCTAGACCAAGTGTTTCAAAAGTGATTTGATTTTCCATTGCTTAGTTTTTGGTTGGCCAACCTAAGTTTGATTTTAAGAAGTGCATTTATCAGGCCCCTTTAAGGTGTCTCAGTTTAGGCATTCAAAAAATTAAGCACCGCAAATCACTAGTCCCTTAGGAAAATTTGCCCATGGTGACTTGAGAAATAGTATGTAGGGGAGTGTTCTTTAGAGACAGTGCAGAGCTGTTTGTGCACGCAGGTGAAGGGATATCAATGGTGTCACCAGCAAGGAAAATGTATAGAGAAAATGTGACAGACTGGTTAACGATATTATTGACTGCCAACAAAATTGGCATGAATTAACAAGGGGATAAAAATCCCAAGTTATCATTGCTACATTAGCCTTATGGCACTGGAAATTCTGTATTCTAGTGGGAGAATCCGCAGTTGATCACTTAGACCAGTTTTAAGGCTGCTTCGTGTAGCTGGAACGCCACAAAGAAATCTTACTGGGAGCAAGGATCTGGTGCTAATTTTTTTGTAATTAGAGTAATTCAGTTTTTCTGGTGGGAGAGCTATGGGAAAGGGACAGACACAGAAATCAAGGCAAGAATACTACTTTATTTGAGCACACTTTCCATCAGAATGCACATCATTATACGTTAAAAATCCCATTTGGAATAATTACAATTACTAAGACATTCCACGTAAAATGTATTTGTTTATGTAATATTTACTAAAAATAACCCCAAAAATCTTATGTTTAAAGCAAACAAGTGAGGCAAAATTCTGTAAAGCATAGGACAGATTTGTCAGAATTCGGTCCCCGTGGAATAGGGCTAAAAATAGGTGCGAATGCAAATTCTGAGATGTTTTGTTCCATCAGAAATTACATTCCTTGGCAGGGCTGGGGACAGGTGGTTAAAGCAATTCCTGAAGGGTGGCAGACAAACGTGAGAAGTCCCATCTCCCATCTGTCCTGATCCGGGGGATGAGATTTCAGATGAAGCAGAGAGCAATGTCTAAGAAACTATTTTTTGCTAGACCGGACCTAAGGATACGTGAGGGGATGGAATTTTGGAATCTGTTGTCACCTTTTGGAAATGACACCATCACCTTCCTATCTTTCTCCTTGGTCCAGAGAATACAATTTCAAGGGAATAAGAGAGAGAGCACCCCCTAGGCTGCTGAAATCCAGGCATTTTCAACAGAGAACTCAGACTTTATTTAGGATTGTAATTTTTTTCTGGAGCCAAAAATGAAATGCATGTATTATTAACATTTGCTAGGGCCTACAAGTAAATACAAGGTCTATGCATTTTTTTATATATTTTTTTTACACAAGGGCTGCTGTGCATTTAAAGGAAGTCCTCTTGCCTTTACAAATGAATGTTCAGAGCAATGTTTGGCTACACACTCCCCAGGGGCACTCATGCTTTGGGATGGTACTAGCACAGCTTCCCCTAATCCAGGGTGAGGCTGTGCCTGATAAATATTGCAGCAACGGAGCTTCCTGCAGTAAAGTATGCGTATCTCCCTGCTGTCCTTGCCCCACAATGCTTTGCAAAGCTAATAGCTAACCTCAGGGAAGGGGCACTATGCTGCTCCGCATTCAATAGCCCTGCTGATAACAGCTCAACAAAGATTAGCAATGAGAAGATGAATAATGCAGCTGCTCCTTCAGCATGCATTGAGGATGGGAAATAAACGTTTCCCACTACGGCTCGCTGAGCATTTCTACCCTACTGTTATAAAAGATTAAGTCACGTGTCTGTGTGTTCAGGGGAAGGGAGGGGATTGCATGGTGTTTGTTTACTGCATCCATAGGATATGGTGATATTTGTATCCGCTCCACTGTTTTAGAGGCAGAAAAAGCCGGAGCCCTTTGTCTATGATTGTGTAAAATAATGTGAAAAAAGGTGCACGTACTCTTTAAAGGCAGTAATGATGGGACCAGGCATTCAAGATTACCCTTTGCTACTGCAACGACGGACGCTGAAAAAGGACAGTCAACTCCATGAAACCCACAAAGGAATGGTAATGTAAGGGAATTATTTTCTCTCTTTGCTAGGTAAATACGTAATTATTGCAGATTAGTGGCTAACGGATTGTGTGATTCAGTGGACTAGCCAGGTGGTACTTTATTTCCTTTCAGTGTATCCATTTGTTTATTCACAACGACACAGATGATCAAAGAGTTTATGGGTCACAGAGTTACGAGGTGATTGATTCCATACTAGAGGGACGAGGACTTGCTTTCATAATTTTATAAGCCATAAAGTGACAAAATGTTTTTCAAACAAGATACACTCCTGATTTCAAATAAAAATGAGTACTATGTATTGACAAATAGGTGGGTTGTAGTAAAATTAACTTGAAAGCAAACGTGAAGGATAGTTTCAGAAGGGTAGCACTGATAGTCTGCAACTGAAAAAAAACCTTGAAAAACAATGAATAGTCCTGCAATACCTTAGAGCCTAACAAAAAATGTAGATAGTATCATAAGCTTTTGTGGGTATGACCCACTTCTTCAGATGAAATATGCTTGTTGTTCTAAAGTGACATGTTAAAGCTTTTTTAAAAAGGCATATTGCTTGTATACAGTGAAATGCAAATTTTCTTATTCTTAGATTGTGTTACTTAAAATATTAAAATATTTTGTTTGTCCTAATGTACTCCCTAGAGAGAGCATCTGATTTATTTAGGGGAGTGCTGTCTGGTTTATAATGTCAGATTAGTAGTGCATATCATTTATATTGAACATGTGTGGGATTTTTGCTCTTGATTTAAGCACCAACCTGTGATAAAACTGTGAATTTTTCTTTGGTTACTCTTGTGAAAATAGCTTCTATTAATATCATAATAGATGTTACATTTTGAGCCAAATTCTACTTACATTCTCATGAGTAATTGTTTGAGCATCTTTGGCCCTGTGCACATAAAACAAGGCAAGCAGGATTACCTGCTAAATGCATATCATTATTTAATTGTGCTGTGGAACCACTTTGTCTAAGTCATGTCCTCATTGTGCTATGCACTGTGCAAATGAATTGTAATATGGAAAATTACTGATGTTTGTAAATTGCTTTGAGATCCTCAGAGAGATGGTGTTATAAAAGTTTGAGGTCATTTGTGGGTAAAGCATTTATGTAGTATGTAAATTAAAAGGGACCTCTAAATATACATGAAAATGTTTTTGTGCCAGATAAATGAGAAATCCCTTAAATCTAAGGAACAATTAAGTATAATTATGAACATCTCTTTCTGCCCTTCCCCATTCTTCTCAAGATTAATCTGCATTGAAAAATCAATACTGAAGCAATGATTGTCAAGCATATTGTTATTTAAGGACAATATCCTGTTTGTTCATTGCTAGTTCCAGTGGTGGAAAGGGACTTTCAAGTACCAAAGGACTAAAGAAACCACTCCCCTCTGTGATACCTTCTCCCAGCCGATTAGGCAAAAGTATTTTAAATACCACCGAAAAGGTAAATCAATTCAAATTTCTTTGCATGTATAAAAATGTATTTAAAACTGTAATAAAGAAAAATCTGACATAATATTTAAGTACACATTTACATGTGTTTTCTAGACTTTCCATTGCACCCAGGGTAATAGTCAAGCAGGTTCTCTTTACAAGGAAAGAAACAGGCTAGATGAGACTCATCAGCAAAACAGGTAAAGTTTTTTGTATTGTCACTGTCTGATGTCCAGAGATTTTTTTCAAAGTTTCAGATAAGGCCTTGTCTACACTACAAAGTTTTGTCACCCAAAACTGCTTTTCGGTGACAAAGCAGTGAAGCTATGTCTACGCACGTGGCATCTTGTGCAAGAAGTATGCAAATGAGGCTGTGTGGAATATTGCCAAACCTCGTTTGGATATCTAATGAGCCGCCATTTTGCAGAAGAGGCTCTTGCGCCAGAAGGAGCTGTCTACACTGCTCATTCTTGTGCAAGAAAACCCTCTTGTGCAATGCCACTACGCTGATTATTTTCAGGAATAATGCCATTGCGCAAGAGGGTTTTTCGAAGGGGTAGTATAGATAGCTCCTTCTGGCACAAGAGCCTCTTCTGCAAAAATGGCGGCTCATTAGGTTTGCAAATGAGGCTTGGCAATATTCCACGCTTAGTCTCATTTGCATATTTCTCGCACAAGAAGCCGCGAGTGTAGACAGCCTGAGACTGTACACACTGAAATGCAACGTTTGTCAGGAAAAACACCCGAGTTTCAGTAACAAAAAACTTCCATCCCAAGGAGAGACTTTTTTTTCTTTTCCTCTCCCTTTCTGGACAAAGAACCAGGGCATGTCTAAACTGCATTCCTCTGTTCAAAGAGGAATGTAAATGAAGTAAATCAAAAGTGCAATTTAAATATTGCGTGCATCATTTGCATATTCGCGTCTGAGCGCTTTTTTCCCCTCATTTTTTCAGGATTACGGGTTCTTTTGAAAAAGGGATTTGTTTTTTTCAAAAGAACCCGGTCTAGACTTTGCTTTCACTTTCGAAAAAGCGCTCGGACGCGAATATGCAAATGAAGCATGGAATATTTAAATCAGCGCTTCATTTGCACTTTCGATTTGCCTCATTTATATTCCTCATTCAAAAGAGAAATGTAGTCTAGACATAGCTACAGCTCGTTTTGTCCACAGAACTGGCTTTTGTCGGTATCCCAGAGTGCCTGCTCTGATCACTTTGCTTAGTGTTTTGATCTCTGCTGTCCTGCAGGCATGTGCTTATCCCCTTTCAAAGCTCTGAGAAGTATTTCAGCTGTGTGCTGCTCCATTTGGAGAACAAACAAAGAACAAATCATTGGAATGCTCCTGTTCTGTCCTGCACTGAGAACACAGCAGAAGGGAGATTGCTGCTGTAGGGAAGGGGACAGATGCTGTACTACTTTGACATTCTTCAGCAGGGAGAGCTCACAGCTATTTTGGATACAGTTCCCGGGAGCTAAGGAGGTTGTGGGAGAACTCAGAAGAATCCCAAGATGTACAGTGATCAACTCTGCCTTCCCACAACACTGCACTATGGGATACATACCCACAGTGCATTGCTCACACTGTTACTGATGGTGCCTCCAGTGTGGACATGATTTATTGACAGAGGGAGCAAATGTGAACATCTTTTGGTGATTTGTTGACTTTTGGGGATAGTTGTAATTTTATTTGTCGGTCGACAAGACCTCAGTCTTCAGGTAAAATACTGACTTTGAAGTCAATGGAAGTTTTGCTTTTGACTTAATTGGGGGCATGATTTCACCCTTCATGTTCAATTACTAGGAACACAAATTTAACGTACCATTATGGAAACTTGCTGTTCTGCCTCAAAGAGCATACAGTGCCAGCTGGAGCACAGGGTGGGAGAGTGGATAGCATGTGGCCCCAGCCTTCCCTGGAGCATGGGAAGAGTGGGCCCCCAGCCCTGGAGGGCACACAGCAGGTGGCCTTGGAGCACGGATGGTGCCCAACCCCAGCCTTTCCAGCCCCAGGCCTCCACAGGGCTGAAGCCCAGCCAGCGCCTGGAGATTGGGGATGGTGCCCTGAAGTGAGCTGGGGGCAGAGTGAGGGCAAGGCCAGGCTGGCAGTTTGGAAAGGTATTGCCTTCCCCCGCCTTGTATACCCACTGCCCATGCCAAAGAGGTTACAGGATCTAATTGTAAATGATCTTTCTTTCCATGTAGAATAAGTGTTTGTACATCACTACACAAAGCACGAAGGGCAAAGGAGGACCTCTCAGAAAGAAAGCAAAGTGAATGTGGATTACACAGAATCTCTCCCAATTTGAAGGAGATTTCACAAAGTGGCTCCAGTAGGGCAGAAGATGTGTGGATGCAGAGATGTTATTCCAATCAAAAAGGAGACTCTCAAAGCAATCTTGGAGAGCATGTGACTGAAGCTACTGCTTGTACTTCCAGATATCAAGGGACCTCTGTGAATGAAATGTTTCTTGACTTTGAATCAGTGAGAATTATTCAAGAGGATGCTGCTGAGGACAGTGCCAGTGACCTTTCTGACTCAGAAAGAATTCCCATCCCTCCTTCCCCCTGCACACCGCCAGAACTCAACCTCCGAGCTGAAGAAATTGACCCAGTGTGTTTTGAACAACTCTTTGATTCAGGGTATAAAGAATCAGTGTACTATTATCCTGACTTCCTCCCACCCCCTTTCAACTCCTGGGACCTACAGCAGCTGGCAATGTTTGTTAACACAGACTGTAAATCTGAATCTCGACCACAGCCAATAGGATTTCTTGAGAAATATATCGATCGGCTTTTGCAGCTGGAGTGGCTGCAGGTGCAAACTATACAGAATGAGAAAGGAAAGACTGCCAAAGCTAGGCCTCAGACTGCTCCTAGTACCACACGGACCCTAAAAAGCCCTTGCAAAGGCAAATCATTGCATAGCCCTTTGTCTAACAAGCAGTTAACTCCCCAAGAAAGTGTTATAAAGCTCCCCACCAGCCTTTCAGGTTGCAGAAGAAATGTACACTCTGAAGAAAATAGCCAGTTAAGTGCATATCCAAGTCATTCAAAAATTACTGAGGTGATGGGTGGCACATCGTCCCCACAGAGACAAGCCTGTGAAATGAGGAGTGAAGTGAGAAAGAGGCCAACCACCAAGCAGCAACTTCTCAGCAGCCCTAAGATTCAAGATGTTGGAAACATTAGACCCCCCAAGCAATGCCCCAAAGTTCATAGTTCAGCTACCCCCATCCAAGGGAGAAAAACACAAGTGGATTCAAATATGAAGACAAATGGAAGTGCTAATAATTATGTTCCTTCCAAGAAACCATCGGGGGATAGGAAGCTAAAAACAAATGGCATGAAACAAACATTCACATTTAAATAATGAAGAATTCATTAGTGCATTGTCAATGCAATGCTGACTGCTGGACAGTGGAGAGGCCCTGGTTTTTCCATCAAGAAATCCTGTAGAAAATTGTTCTTTCTGAAGATTTCTGGGCTTAGCATAGCACGTTTAAATAGGTTGGATCTGAAACCAGCAGGGCCAGCAGAGAATAATTTTCTCTGAAGGCAAATGTCTTCCACTGGTATTTACTCAAAGGGTTTACACTTGCTTATGCAAGAGGATTCTAGCTAATAAGGTTAGAAAATCATGAAACTCCATCAAAGTCAACGAAGTTTCTCTTGATTTACATTGGTATACGTGAGGAGCATCAAATCCATCTTTTCTCTATTGAGCAGACACGTGTGTCATATAGGGTGAGACAGGTTTGCTTTTCTTTCTAATGGAAAAGAGCTTAGTTGATTTTTATTTTGATAGATTTGGCCAGACTCATCTATTCAAAGTCAAAGTCTCTGATTCTTGAGGGAAGACCATCAAAATTGGTCTGTTTGAGGAGCAGAGAGCAAAGAATGTTTTGAAGTAATCTGAGTCATAAAAGATTCTACTGGTTAAAATCATATCACTTCTGTAAAGGACTGATGTCTGCTCGACTGGTGACAGGCCAAAAATATGGCCTGAATATTTTTATACAGCTATCTTTCTTGTATTTTGAGACCATTTTCCTTAAAAGTCCACCTTCTGGTAGGTCTTGCTGGTTTGTGTCATTTAGAAGGCGAATCTCTAAGGCTGCGTCTAGACTGGCAAGTTTTTCCGCAAAAGTGATTACTTTTGCGAAAAAACTTGCCAGCTGTCTACACTGTCTGCTTTGAATTTGCGCAAGAACACTGACAATCTAATGTAAGATTGTCAGTGTTCTTCCGCAAATACAATGACTCTCCCGTTCGGGAAAAAGCTGTGTAGACAGCTGAGAACTGTTTTGCGCAAAAAAGCCCCGATGGCGAAAATGGCGATAGGGGCTTTCTTGCACAAAACCGTGTCTAGATTGGCACGGACGCTTTTCCGCAAAAAGTGCTTTTGCACAAAAGCATCTGTGCCAATCTAGACGCTCTTTTCCACAAATGCTTTTAACAGGAAAACTTTTCCGTTAAAAGCATTTGCGGAAAATCATGCCAGTTTAGACGTAGCCTAAATGTTTTTAGCTGCTGCTAGTCAAGAAAGAGATTGAGACATCCTGGTTACTTCTCTGAAAACAACTGTTTGGTGTGTACTGGCAATCAAACTAATAAAATTAAAAAAAAGTCTTGGCGGGGTAGCCATATTACTCTGTAACTTAAAAAAACTTAGTGACGTGTGGTCCTGTAGCACCTTAGAGATTAATAAACACATACAGGGCTTGATGAATGGTGGTGAAAACCGCTCGCCAGCCCCGTACTGCGCAGGCACAAGTGCTGCAATGTGCATGCGTGCACCACGAATGAATGGGGCATGCAGCTGAAATCTGCTCGCCACAGGTGAGTAGATTGTATTGTTTGTCGAGTCCTGAACATATGTCGAGCCCTGAACATATATCATATATACTTGAACTTAAGCCCGTTTGTTTATAAGCTGACCCCCCCCAAACTTACAGCGAAAAAATGGTGAAAAGTCACTGACTCGATTATAAGCCAACTCCAGAATACAGCAGTCTGGGACCTTATAAGCAGGCCAGTGACTTTTTAACATTTTTTTCCTCTGTAAATTTGGAAGGTCAGGTTCCAGACTGCTGTGACTCTGCTTTTTAAATGTACATTTAAAAGGCAGAGTGGCAACGGGGGACCCGGTGCGAGCCGGGACTACTTTGTCCCAACTTGTGCCAGGTCCCAGGCACCGCCGCACTGCCTTTTTAGAACCCGTTCATAAGCCAATCCCACTCTTTACAGTGGGATTTTTTTTCCAAAAAAGTCAGGTTATGAACGAGTATATACAGTATATACTATCATGAGCTTTCATGGGCAGAACACACTTCTTCAGATGAGCGGACCAAGAGGCACAGAAACCCGAAAGTTTTCTGCTTTAAATTGCCTCTTGCTCCATTCATCTGAAGAAGTGGATTTTGCCCACGAAAGCTCATGATACTAACATATATATTGTTAGTCTCTAAAGTGTTACAGGACCACTAGTTTTTAAAGTGTTTTTTTTTTTTAAATAGAATGTTAGAAATTGTTTGGAGGAAAACAGATAAGAGACAGAAAATGTCATGATGCACTAAACAAATCCATGGTACCCCCATAGCTTCATGCAGTTCTGATCACCTGTACAGAGGTCCCAGGTTCTGTTCAATACACTCACCTCTCATGAGTGCTCCCTTGGCTGAGTGCACACTCTCTCTGATTGTCCCTCTTCTGGGATAGAGCATCACCCCAGGAGTCCCTCCCTGGAGATAATGTCTTTATCTTCTTGGGGCTTCCTAGCTACAGCTCTCAACCTGCATCATGATAGTTCAGTTCTCTTCTAGGGTGCCATTTCCTGCCCTTTTCCTCCCCCCTCCCCCCATGGCTAATGTGTGTGTCTGGGGAGGGGGGCGGGATGGGACCTGGGCTTGCTTACTATAGGGCTATGTCTACATTACAAAGAAAAGTCGGAAAAAGATACACATATTGCTGCTCACAATTTGCGTATCTTTCTGCTTTTCTTCCAAAAGAGGCTTTTCCGACATTTGGCCCGTCTACACGGGTCAAATGTCAGGAAAAAAACCCTCTTTTGGAACATCCCTTCTTCCTCATAAAACAAGATTCACAGGGATGCCAAAAAACACGTCTGCTTTTCTGAATTTTTTTTTTCGTAAAAGCAGACACGTTCCTTGGATGTGGCAGAGCTTTTCTGGGATACCTCCACATGCCAATCACATTCCTACAGCTCCAACAAGGGACTGAACTCCTTTTGGCCCTGTGGCTCCACTTATACTAGGCTGATGGGCCCTGATTGACTGTGTCCCATGTAGCCACTCTAGGAAGCTTGGAGGACCCTCTCCACTTTCCTTTTTGGGGGTGGGACATAGTATGGCCACAGGGCCTCCAGTAGGGGGCCTCAGATGGTCTGGTATACCAGTGGTTCCCAACCTCTTTAATGCCACAGACTGACAAACCCATTCACAAACTTTTGGTGGATCGGTAACATTTTATTTGCATATTCATTATACAAATAATTAATATGCAAATACAATGTTACCTGTCCGCTTAGCTCCAACCCAGCTCCCCAGTGTCTAGTGTCCTTTGATCTCCACTCTTATACCCCATTCCCTTTGACCCTTTAACCTCTTACCTCTACAGCCTATGCCAATACTCTCATATGCCATGACACCACTACGCCCTCATCAACACCCTTTACCCCCCACCATAGCTCTTCACTTCTCAGAGAGGCTGTCCCCCTAGGGAGTGTGGCTGTTACTGTGCGCAGGCGGGGGAGCAGCTGTTGGTGTTGCACGCGCTCCCTCCTTCTTCATGCCCTCTCCTTCCCCAAGCATGTTTCATGCCCCCATGGGAGGGAGGAGAGCACGGAGCCCCGGTCAGCCACCATTACCAAGGTGTTTGTGGGGCGGCGGGAGGTGCCTGCTTTGCCTCCTACTGCCACCGCCTCAGCCCCAGTGCCACTGCTGGCAAAAGCAGCCACGGAGGCAGGTGGGAAGCGCGGAGCTCCAGCCAGCTGCCATTACCAAAGGAGGGGAGGGGAAGGGAGAGGGTCATGCCTCCTGCTCCATCTCCTCCTCCTGCTACCTCAGCACCAGGGCTGAAGCCAGCAAAATTGGCTGTGCAGGCAGGGGGAGTGGCCATTGGCGGCACGTGTGCTTCTTCCCTCCCCAAGTGTGTCTTCCCAAGTGCAGAGGAGGGAGAAGGCAGACACCTCCTGCCACTGCTTCAGTCACCACTGTTCCCGGAACTGAGCTGCCATGAACAACCAGCTTGAGTTCTGACAGCTGCTGTGGCCAGGCAGCCAGCAGTATGTGGACCGGCACTGGTCTGCGGACTGTTGGTTGGGAACCGCTGTGGTATACCCCATCATATCACCCTAAAATAGAACTGAAAAAAGTACAAAGAAGGATAAGAATGATTAAGGGTATGGGACAACTTGCATATCAGAAGAGACTAAAAAGACTGGGACAATTCAGCTTAGAAAAGAGATGACGGAGCGGGGGAGAGAAGATAAACTTTATAAAATCATAAATCGTGTGGCGAAAATGCATAAAGAAATTTTATTTGCCCTTTTAAATACAAGAACTAAGGGTCACCTAATGAAATTAACAGGCCACAGATTTAAAACAAACACAAGGAAGTACTTCTTCCTACAGTGCACAGTGTACTTGTGGATCTTCTTGTCAGGGAATGCTGTGACGGCCAAAAGAATAACTGGGTTCAAAAAATAAGTTAAGTTCATGGCACAGACCCATCAATGGCTACTAGCAAAGATGGTCAGAGACACAACCCCATGCTCTGGGTGTCCTTAATCCTCTTCCTGTCAGGAGCTGGGACTGGATGACAGGGTATAGAACCCTTGATAATTGCCCTGTACCATTCATTCCTTCTGAAGCATCTGGCAGTAGCCTCTGTCAGGAGACAGAATATGGGATTAGATGGAATGACTGGCCTGACCCAGTATGACCATTCTTATGTTTACTCTTTTATGATAAGGGGCCCAATCTTTGAAGCTCCTGTTCATTCTCAGCTCCTGGTGATGGCAGTGGAGGTTGAAGTTACTGTATAGTGTACAGGATTGGGCTCATGGTGGCTTAGAGAAAAGATTAATCTCTTTCCAGTAAAGATAAACTTAAAAAACAACAAATGGTCTGGTAGTACTTTATAGAATAACCATCTACATGTTTTGTTAGTCTATAAAGTGCTACCAGATCATTTGTTGTTTTTTAAGTTTATCCTGTAAACTTGGCTACCCCCTGAAACAGTAAAGATAATTTTGTCATGGGACAACAGCCTGGACTTGTCTACATAAAATCACACTGTTACAAGAGGCAATAATTGGATTCAAACAACCCCTGAAAATATTTTCTCCCCAAATTTTGGAAGCAAAATTAAGCTCAGTAATGTTTCTATTTTCTAGAAACAGGAAAGAGTTAGATTGCAACTAATCCAAATTTACTTCAATCAGCTCCTCTTTCATAGCTTTAAAAAGATGATGTGACTGTCATGCTGTGAACAGACAGCTCTAGGGAACAAAGCTGTTTGTCCAGGAGCACTGACAGTTTGTGTGGGCTACTGGGCAAGGGGGAGGCTCTGTGCCCCTGGAAGGGGTGGGGCCAGAGCAGTCAGCACGCCACACTGGAACGTGTGGAATGGTGCTCCTGGCAGTGATTTAAAGGGCCCAGGGCTCTAGCTGCTACCGCAGCAGTGGCAGTGGCCAGGAGCCACAGCCCCCTTTGAATTGCAGTGTCCCAGGGCAACTATGCCCCCTGCCAGCTCCCATCCTGGGCTGTGAGAGTGGGAACATTTCCTTTTCCACTCTCATCTCCCGGTCTGTCTCAGATGTGGCAGTAATTAAGTTTCAGACCATTTTTCCCACTGCTGGAGCTACCATTTGTGGCAGTGACTTTCGTGATATGGACACCTGTCCCTGGAAACTGGAGTCTGTCTTTTTCATATCTTCCTTTAATTTAATTTCTCCTAACTGATGAACAGGAAGAGATGAGAGTCATCAGGGGCAAGATAGCCCAAGAATGATGGTAATTACACATTTATTTCAATTTCTAAACCAAAGACACAGAAGTAACCATTGTACCTTTGAAGTTCCTATGTCTTGCGGCATTGCTTTCTCTAAATCTAAAGAATTTCTCTGACTTAAACAAACTCATCGGTATAGAGAAAAGATGAAGGGTTTGGTGTA